CCCCAAAACCCCAAAACCCCAAAACCCCAAAACCCCTTAATGCATCTTTCTACGTGATAAAGGCAGTAATTTATTTAATATTTGGCATAAAAATTATTAATGATTCATCTTGATTACTGTTAAAGTTTCTTTAGAAGCTTTTTTACTGAGTTTGGGCATTCAAAACTAACCTTTTCTGATTTTAACTTCTCTTATCTATTTTTTTCAAGTTTTTTATATTTTGTAATAACTTCTTCGGCAGTCATTTCATGATCCTTCTTGTCTTTAGATTTCTAAGGTTGATAGAATTGACAGTAATCCAAAGACCCATTCTAAATCATACTTATTTACTTTTTATCAAACCACATTATCCTTTTTCCCATTTACCAAAGTCCATTTTAAGTCTCATCTCCTAGCTTTTTATATATACCTATTCCGTGCTGTTTTCCCTTATGCCACCATCCTTCAAAACTTCTATTATCAGGCCATTAATAAAATCCATAGCCTTCTTTCTAGTCATTCACAAATTGGCCTTCGTACTACTTTCCATCAGACCAAGTCATCCTACCAACTCCATCCATGTTGTTTTTTAGCATATAACCAGTATATGATTTTCCATCTTTCCATTAGTAAGTTCCGAATCCTTACATAACTCCACCTTGCCATTCTCCTTTATAGCAGGCACTGGTTTCAGCAAAAGTCATTTCACCGTATCCAGTTTTGGCTCCTGCTTAATAATTTCCTTAAAAGATTGAGCCGCTAGCTAATTTTTCAATACCATATCCTTCTTATTTATCAAATCTCCATTAACCATCATAGACTGAGCCTTCAGTATTAGTGTACTCTCCACGACCATGAGCCATTGACATAATGAATTAACCAACATATGTGTTTCCCAGCTCATCACTAAAAATTCCCAAGCCTTGTGCATAACCTAATACCCACTCTCCATCATATGATGCTCCATCTGGCCAGTCCATTCTACCTTTTCCATCTCTGAATCCTCCTTTCCATTAACCTACATATATCGCTCCGTTTTTATATTTATATGGCGGCTTTGTTTGGTTTTTCTTATTTATAGTGCCTTTCTCCTCTAAAATATATTATAATGAGTGTAATTTACTAGGCTTGATTGTTTCTCTCAATTCTTATCTGGTAAAATACTTCGTAAGTCTTTTATAACTTTCTTTTTCTTGCTTTATTAAAAATGATTAGTATCTAGCTAGTTATCCTCTTGCCCAAGATTAAATAGTGATAATGCTCTTTATATTATCAATAACCAAATTATTCATCTTCTATGCATCATTAATATGATGTAATTCTTACTGTGTTTCTAATTACTTTATGAGTTTTAGATGATTGGGTTGCATCTAATATATACTATGCTCCTCTATACTTTTGTGGCAGAATGGCAGAGTTGTCATATGACTTTCTGATTTGATCAATTTGAGAGTTTGGATTTGGATCATCATCATTGAATTCAATATTTGACTCTCCTCCACAACTCTTGCAGGCTGTGCAACTTGTATTACCCATGATAAACTAAAAACTTCTTATTTATTTTAATAATATTTCAAATTTAAACATATTACTGTGCAATCTTAAATAAAATGATTTAGTCATCTATGCGGGGTTTTGGGGTTTTGGGG